CTGCCGGCGTTGGCCAAGGCCACTTTTGCTGATTGTGTGTGGTCCAGGTGGAGGCTGTAGGGAGGCGAACGTTTGCCTAAATCTTCAGGCTGGAACTCAGCTGATGGGCAAGAAGTAAACAAAATCCTTTGAATTCCCCAGTGTGGTTTATACCCCAACTTAGGGCTGATTCCAGGAGAGCTGCTCCTGGGTTTTTGCATTTATTTTTTTAAACATTTTTTTAAGTTTTTTTATCTTGAGAGAGAGAGAGAGACAGAGAGCATGAGCAGGGGAGGGGCAGAGAGAGAGAGAGGGAGGGAGAGAGAGAGGGAGAGAGAGAATCCCAAGCAGGCTTCACACTGTCAGCGTGGAGCCCGACTCAGGGCTCGAACTCATGCACTGTGAGATCATGACCTGAGCCGAAATCAAGAGTCAGAGGCTTAACCGACTGAGCCACCCAGGCACCCCAGGGCCTTTGCATTTATGTCCTAACTGATTCTTCCAAGAGCCCCTCGCCTCTGCTCAACCCAGGGGGCTGAGGAGTGGCTGTTGGTAGCTGACATGGTGGGTCATGAATGACCATTAAGGACTGCTTGGCGAAGGCGAGGTGAGGAAGCGGACAGGAGACCTGTTGGGTGCACCTGCTGTGTACCCGCTGCTGGGTCTTGGGTGTGTAGTGTTGTTAGTATCCACAGTGATGACCGACCCCGAGTCATAAATAAAGGTGACGCTTCTCATGCGTTTTCTTTAAGATGTCAGGCAAGTAGATGACTGGTTACCAAAAAATTTTTTTAATGTTTATTTAGTTTTGAGAGAGAGGGAGGCAGAGACAGAGTGCAAGCAGGGGAGGGGCAGAGAGGGAGACACAGAATCTGAAGGAGGCTCCAGGCTCCGAGCTGTCAGCACAGAGCCCGACTCGGAGCTCGAACTCACGAGTGGTGAGATCATGACCTGAGCCGAAGTCGGACGCTTAACTGACTGAGCCACCAGGTGCCCCTAAGTGACTTGTGAGTTCCAGCCTGGCGTTGGGCTCTGTGCTGACAGCTCAGAGCCTGGAACCTGCTTCGGATTCTGTGTCTCCCTCTCTTTCTGCCCCTCCCCTACTCATGCTCTGTCTCTCTCTGTTTTTCAAAAGTGAATAAATGTTAAAAAAAAAAAAAATTAAAAAAAAGTTTCACTCACTTGGACTCCTTGTTCTCCATTGTCGTTTGTAAGCAGCAATGGATTTTCCAAGCCTGTGTGAACTAGCCTCTGCCACTAAGAATAGAATAAGTCTCAGGGCACCTGGGTGGCTTAGTCATTTGAGTGTCTGACTTCGGCATAGGTCATTATCTCAGTTTGTCAGTTCAAGCCCAGCATCAGGCTTTGCACTGACAGCATGGAGCCTGTCTGGGATTCTCATTCTCTCTCTCTCTCTGCCTCTCTCCTGCTTGTGTATATGCTCTTTCTCTCTCAAAAAGTAAACAACAAGAATAGAATAGGACTCTATTCTACAGGACTTCTCTGTAATAAGGGTGATCTTAGTTTATACTTAGCTTATGCTGGTTTTTGGGCACTTTGAGCAGTTGTATCTCATTTAGTTGTGCCTGGATTCCTCTGAAGTAGACAAGGCAGGTGTTTCTATGCATCAGGGTACAGGGACCCAGGAGGGCATGGATGGAGTTAGGGTCATGTGATGTGCAAAATGGCTGACCTGGTTTCTGAAGCAAAGCGTTCTGATCGCCAGGCTGGTGGTCTTTGCATTCTGTCCTGACGCCTTCTCCTGCCAGAGCCCCCACCGACAGTGGTCGGAGAGTCAAGAGTAGGTAGGTATGTGGGTTTTGTTTTCTTTGTCTTTTTTTCTCATGACAACAGCTATGTGCTCCTCTGTCAACTGCTCCATATACTTTTTGTTCCCCCTTTCTTTAAGAACACTTCAAGAATACAAACATAGAATATGATTGAAGGGTAACAGAATATGCCACCCCACAATATGCCTCTTTGGCATACAGATTATTTTTGAGAAGCATCAGACAGGAGAGGAGAAGCCCTGAAGACAGAGTAGAAGTTACCCTTGTGTAACAGACAGTTACATTTATAAAGGAAATCTACATCTGTAAGGGTGTCTCCCTCTTTGTGCCAGAAGACAAGACTGGCTCTAAATCACAAGACAGTCTTGTCAATGGAGAAGTCTTTTTTTTTTTTTTAATTCATTCATTCATTCATTCATTCATTCGGAGAGAGAATGGGAGCACAGGTAGAGAAGGGGCAGAGAGAGCGAGGGAGAGAGAGAGAATCCCAAGCAGGCTCTGCACTGCCAGTCCAGAGCCCGATGGGGGGCTCAAACCCACAAACCATGAAATCCTGACTTGAGCTGAAGCTGGATCCTTAACTGACTGAGCCACCCAGGTGCCTTTGCTTAAACAATTTTTGATGTTGCTCCTGCTACCTAGAACGTTTTTATTTGGTTAGTTCAAGTTTGAGAATATATATTTTACCAGTTTTATTTCTTAAGTTGTTGAGGGTGAGGATGTGTGGGAAGGCGTGGGCCATGAGCGGGCCTTACTCATTAGTGAGCCCATTCGTTGGCTGGATTATTAAGTACTATCAGAAAAATCCAGGTGCTTAGGTGGCAGTGACCTGCCTTTATACTCTTTTCGCTGGATTTGTTGCCTCTGTCAGTTTTCTCTCTGATGGGTGACTCCGATTATATTTTCCTTTATCCACACCCATGTTAGGCTCAAATGGAGAGCTGAGGAACAGACAACAGTGACTCCCAGACACGATCCTCCGTTATAGGAACGTTTGGGATGGCGGGTGTTTACCCCTTGGCTGCTGGTGGTCGGCTCCAGGGCGTGTGCTGCCTGCCAGGGCTGGGACTATCCATATGTACAGTTTGGAGTTTTTACCTCACTGTGTAAGCCTCCAGATTTTCATCTCTGTGATCACCTAAATGGTCTGTTTTATGGCCCGTTGTGTTTGGGCTGCTTTCTTAAACTCTTGATGCTTCTCGGGATGAATGATTGGGCATGCTGGAAACGTATCAGTGAGCCTTTGTGTTCTTGAGATCTGATTGTCGTCTTTAATAAACAGCATTTCCTTGTAGAAGAGAACTGTCATGATGTCATGAAAGGCAAGGCTGTCGGTGAAGCCTGAGAACGTGCGTGTGCATGTGTGTGCGGTGTTGGGGTTTAATGGCATGCCCATGTGATGGATGGGAACATCTTTCTATAAATATCCTGAAGGGGTGCTAGTTGGTAGGGAAGAAAATGCATTTTAGTTTTGTTTTGGGATTTGTTTTTTTTGGGTTCCCTTGCCCTTTTGTGCCATGGGTTCCTCGCTTGGGACAGATGGAAAGAAAACCTGTTGGTTATTTGCCATGTCTGGGTTAATAAGGAGAGATTGCTTGAGGGGAAATGCTTGTTTCAAAGTCTAGTGCTTGAAGTATTTCCAAGCTTTTGGCATTAGAGGAAATGATGTTGAGGGCCTGTGTGTTTACTTTTGGTGATGTGATGTGGGCTTGCATTGAGTGTTTGATGTTCTTTGATGCCAGGGGAAGGTACCTCATAAGAATGGAAGTAAGGGCACCTGGGTGACTCAGTCAGTTAAGCATCCGACTTCAGCTCAGGTCATCTCCCGGTTTGTGAGTTTGAGCCCCATATTGGCCTCACTGCTGTCAACGCAGAGCCTGCTTCGGATCCTCTGTCTCCCCCTTTCTCTGCCCTTCTCCCACTCTCTCAAAAGTAAAAGAAACATTAAAAAAAAAGAGTGGTCGGGGTGCCTGGGTGGCGCAGTCGGTTAAGGGTCCGACTTCAGCCAGGTCACGATCTCGCGGTCCCGGAGTTCGAGCCCCGCGTCGGGCTCTGGGCTGATGGCTCAGAGCCTGGAGCCTGTTTCTGATTCTGTGTCTCCCTCTCTCTTTGCCCCTCCCCCGTTCATGCTCTGTCTCTCTCTGCCCCAAAAATAAAATAAATAAACGTTGAAAAAAAAATTAAAAAAAAAAAAAAAAGAGTGGAAGTAGGTTGTGGGGTGAAGCGGCCATCTGGCAGGGAGGGGCAACTTCTGCTGTTTCTTTGCCTTTTAGTTTTAGGGAGAAGAATTGCTTTCCCGAAGTCTTAGGAAGGAAGCCCCAGTGCCTCCTCCCTCGTTGGTGTAGAATTTTAATTTTTTGCCTCAGGGAGTAAAATAGATGATCGTAAAAATTCTTCAAAACCGGCACCTGCCACGTGTGGCTGATAGAGAACCACTGATGGCATTCTTTTGAGTTTGGCTTGTGCTGTGTTAAACTCCTGACTCCAGGAGGCAGTGCTCAGCTTCACCCCTGCTATGGAGAGCCTGGGAACCTCTCAAGCCTGGTCCTTTTTCTTCCTCCAACAGAAGTTGGAGAATGGACTCCGTTCTCCGGACCTACCGACATGTGGAGTTTGGGTTGGGAAAGATCGGAGGGTTCCCTCTTTGGGGTGTGTTTGGTTGCAAGGGTGTGCCTCCCACAAGTGAGCCATTCTTGGCTTTGCTTTGGGCTGGGACGTTGAGAGTGCAGGTGAAATCGGTGGGCACACTGTGAGCTGGGGCTGCCACATGTATGCACATCCCTTACTCTTTTTTTTTTTTTTTTTTTTT